CCCCAGGGGCACAGGTCTCTGGGGCAGGAGACGGGCACCAGCCCTGCCAGGGCTCGGGGGCTGGCAGGTCTGCTTGGGCGGGGACTCTGCCACAGCTGCTGGTGTCAGCGTTCCCAGGCCCCAGGGCTCAGAGCAGCATTCCTGCCCTGGCCCACAGTTCCTTGTGCGTGCCACACCCGCGGGTTTAGGATGGCCACGGGCCAGGATGCGTCCCGAGGAGGCCGTGGCAGCTTCCATGGAAGGTCCCATGCCCTTCCCGGCACGGCTGTGTCGGCAGCCCTGGGGGCTCCTTCTGCTGCACTGAGCCCACAGAGCAGGGCAGCGTTTGCTGATGGTCTGAGCCCTTCCTAAAGATCCTGTTGGGCTGTCTCGGACAATTGGGGCCAGGGATTCCTGCCAACCTGGGCCACTTTGGCTGGGCAGGGGGTGGCCCCAGGGCAGGTGGCAGTGTGTGCAAGGGGCCCCCTTTGTGACATGGTGCAGCATGGTCACTATGGCATAGAACGGGACAGATGGCCTTTGTGACACGTGCTGACATAGGAGCTGGCAGTGACCAGAGCACGCCACTCTGCTCGGAGCAGGCGACCGGAGAGGACGGGACAGAGCGGTGCCGTGAGGAGCCCCTGCACAGCGCGCTCGTTCCTGCCTGACCCGGAGCTTTTCTGAGGCTTTACTCCTACAGGTGACCTCGTGGCAAGACCACAGGACTTGGCAGCCCGTGGCTTCCCGAGGCTTTTTTTTGCAGGTGCCCTTGAGGACTTGTTGACTTGGAGCTTTCCCGAGACATCTCTTTTCAGGTGCCCTCGATACCAGACTCTGGCATGGCGGACAGATACTTGGGCTTGTGCAGAGTGTTCAGGGGGAAGAAAAAGAAAAGCCCTGAAGCTGCTCCAGCACAACAGCATGAAAACCCGGAGCAATTCCAGCCACTGGAGGATGGTGAGTGGCAGAGCTGAGCCACAGGGCTGATGCCTGCAGCCAGCTTGGCCCTGCCCCATCCCATCCCATCCCATCCCATCCCATCCCATCCCATCCCATCCCATCCCATCAACTTCTCCCATCCCATGTCCTGTCCCATCCCCTGTCCCATCCCATCCCGTCCCATCCCTTCCCATCCCATCCCCTGGGGACATGCCCATGGACAGGAGGGAAGAGGGCCCTGGCAGACACCCCGCAGTGTCTGTGCTCCATCCCCTGGGGCATCCTGGGGCTGTCCCTGCCTGGGGTGTGCAGGGCTGGGCTGTGTTCTCCAGCCTATCCCATAGCCCCTCAGGTCTGGCTGTGCTCGCTCTTTGCCAGATGCACCCCTGGACTGCACAGAAGAGAAGGAACCTGCCCGTGGCCACGACCGCAAAACCCTGAAGGTGCCTGCAGCCATCCCCACCTGGGCTGGGCCTGCTGTCACTGCTCAGCCCAGCACCATGCCTGGAGCACTCCATGGAACATCCCTGGCTTCCATTTCCTTTGTTCTCCTGCAGACTTTCTGGAAGTCCCCGCGCATTCGACGTAGAAAGACCGGCAGCGCAGCAGCTGAGGGCCCGGCCGAGCCTGACTCGGGGCTGACCGAGCTCCAGGCTGAGCCTGATGTCAGCCCAGATTCGCCTGAGTGCTCAGAGAACTCTGACACCTCAGTGACTGAAACCTGGACAAAGGTTCTTCTCCCGTCAGTGACTGAGGATGTGGCCATCACAAACACCGACAGTGAAGAGACTCCGGGCATCACAAATACTGCCACCAGCCTAGATCCAGCGGAGCCCTCAGAAGACTCTGAGGCTGCAAGGAATGACCAGAGGGCAAATGCTGACATGGCACTGACTGAGGATGTGGACATGACAAACGCCAAAACCAGACACACTCAGGGCATCGCAAATACTGACACCATGCCCACGCCCTCTCCCACTCTGAGTCAGGATCTCATATTCGACTATTTCAAGGACCCTTGTGTTTCTTCTCAGCCACTGCAGGTAAGCAGCCTGGGGCCAGGCCTGGAGGCCTCCCAGGATCGTGTGTCCTCTCAAGCCATGGTCTCTGGGCCCCCTCAGCCTTTGAGGCCAGCACAGTGGGGAAGAAGGGAAGCACTTCTTTGAAATACTTGGGGAAGTTGTTCCCTTGGACAACGCTCCATCTCTCCCCCATGCTTCCTCCAGGTGCCAGCCAAGGTGAAGTACATCCACCAAAGTCTCATGTCCCAAGTCACTGTGGATGCCTGGCTGCA